ATATAGTGCCTTCAACATGTCGTCCACCGGGACCATGCGGCATGATGCTTCCGTGAGGAAGCGTTGCCACCATGACAAGGCGTCCGACTTGTTGTAATCGTCGAACTTGCTGATGTCGAAGTGCGGCATCTTGAACGTCTTTGTAGCGGCTTCCGGTCTCGTCTGTAGCTTGGTGATGTCCGTCTTGATGGCGGCCACCGTGCTGGCGCTGCTGAGGCGTTAGCCTCTATGCTGTTGACGGGTGTGATGGTGGAATTCAATAGCTGATGCTGTTGCTGCTGCTGCGTTGCCTCTGTGCGGATAGCAGTTGTTAACGTAGTCATATTGTTCTTGTATGTTTGTCGCGTCCGTGCGCAGATGTGAATGCAGCAGTGTATTATTCCACATAATACCTCTCATCATGCCCAGCAGCAAGTTAGCCAGGTTACTTCTCTCTACCTCCGCCGGGGTCGGGTCTGCCTGCGCTTCCGTAGGCACAAAGATCATGTCTTGGAGTATCGTCGTCCACTGATGCTCACAAGCAATCAAGGACTCCGTGCTGCTGGCATTCCGTCTGTCTCGTGTCGCTGCGTCAATCTCAGTCGTTCGCTGAGCTTCGGCTGCCGCTTCATTGGCTAGCCGCTGACGTTCTGCCTCTGCTGTCTCCTTCCGGGCCTCGACGACAGCTACGGTTTCCGTAAATGCCAGTAGCCGCCTACGATAATCAGCCGCTGGCTCATTGGCTCCTCGGATTGGGTATGCGGGATGATCTCCGGTGGCGTCTTGTACCGTCAATGCCGTACTTGATGCTGCTGGAGTCGTCCGCCTGCTGAGTTTCTTCGGTCTTGGAGGTACTGCAGGGCGGGCACGAACTGCGATTCTGGCACTGCGTCGTGGCAGTGCCCCGGTGTCCTGTTCCGTCGACATCAGTCTGAACCGATGCGGTACTTGAGAAGTCCCGGTAATCACAGAACACGTGGGGTAGGGAGAGTGGGAACAGGGGTAGAACAATCAAGCAATATACATACAATCCCCTGTCCCACTGATGGACTGTAGACACCTAATCAAACACGAAAAAATAAATTTCCCGTAAACCCTTCGAAAAATTCGTAATAAGGAATTTATAACGATTTAATCAATAATATTAAGTAATGATAATTAACGAAATAAATCCGAATGATAATCAGTAAACAATGTTTGTAATAAAGATAACCAATTAAATGATAATCAGTAAAACAATGTTTGTAAATAAAGATAACCAATTACTAAACGAATTTGAAAGGTATTATGATTAGGTCTCTTTGAGATCACTATGAGATTGGGAGTTCTCCGTTTTTATAAATGAACTGCCCGGTAGTTGCAATTTAAGGTCAGATACGGCTTAGTGTGCTAAAAAAAAATTCGGAAGATTTCAGAGGAAAAAACGCTCGAATTTTCAAAAATGCGAATTTTCGGGAATTCCCACCGTCAAAATCCGATTTTTAAAAGCCTAAACCTATTTTCGGAATTTCTCAAACAAGGAGAACGAAAAAAAAAATTCGCGAAAATTTCGGTCCCAACCCTAATTTCCGCGTTTCGGCGAAATTTCCGGATTTACGGTCCCAAAACGTTAGAGTTTCCCCAAGTTGATCTAAA